AACTGTCAGCTGCTTTCACCATCATCAACACTATTAAGATCAACAATGTTTTCTTTCCTAAAGGAAGATGCAGTGGCTAGCTTAACATGGGTTGAAAAGTTTGTAAGGATATTTTCTTATCTGCTGATAGGAAAAAGATAAATAATTCATAACTGTTACTGGATCAAAATGATAGTTAGTTTTCAGTTCTCTGACATGGACTACCTCAGTGAGTGAGCATCTTTTAGTTCAGTTTCTCAACCTTCCTGTTGTTGCAACCCTATAAAACAGTAACCCCCAGCCATAACTCTATTCCTTGCTACCTCATAACTGTAATATTGCTACTGTTACTAATCATAATGTAAATATCTGTGTTTTCTGATAGTCTTAGATGACCCCTGTGAAGAGTCATTAGACCCCTGGGGGTTGTGACCCACAGCTTAAGAACCACTATTCCAGTTGCTTCTTAATTATACAAACTCTTCTACATTTCTAATCATACTAAAGTGTTTGTTCTTCAAGCTCTTCAAACGTTTCTGCCTGCATATGAAAATGCAGAGAAATGTATGTAGAAATATTATCTATATACGTATTTATAACTACAGCTAGAAAGAGCTTCAATGTTTGCCTCCTAATGAGAATTCTGATATGTGTTGATGCTGAGACTGGGAGGTCTGTAATAGATGAAAGATCTGTACCATGTAATATTAGAAAAGAGAACTGGAAATCCATGACACAAATTTTGCTAAAACAAAATAACTGTCAAGCTGGCTACTCTGAGTTGAGGAGAATTACAGAGTTTAATGTAAAGAGATTCCACTTCCCACCAATGTATTTATCAATTTCACTTTTTTGAAATACTCACTCTGTTTTGGGAACAGCTTTTCTGAGCCAGTAGAAATCAGACTGGGCTAAATATTTGCGGGTTTGCAGCACATTGCCAAAGTAGTCCGATTCTGAAAATTTCATCTGCATAAAACAAACCACATCATTATTGTTCAAAATGCAGATAAGAGACGATTTAAAAATAGACTTCAGCCCACCGAGGAGCAATGAGAAGAGAAGCTAGGGCCCTCAGAACATCACTCAGCCATAACTCAGGGCTCACAAAGCCATGAAATTTAATCTCAGTAATTTTCTTTTAACATAAAAAGCTCAAAAATCAATATGGTCATTTCTGGATCACAGGGAAGAAAACAAGAGAAGCTTCAGTTGTTTACTGCGTTCTGTTTACTTTATAATTGAAAATCCCACTTTACCCTTTGCTAAACATATCATCTTAGAGCTGAAATTTCTTGGCTCACGAGTTCTTGATCCTTTCTAAAATGTGTGCTTTATTTATTTGTCACATGAGATTCTTCTAATCACATTCTGGGTATTCATGTGAAACCTCATTTAGCTTATAGATGATGATTTAGTCAAATGCTAAAATCCAATTTACGGTAATTGGCATTTGTTCATAAAGGAAAAATGGAAGTAATTCACAGACCTATTTTCTGCCCTGAGTACAATGGAGTCACCTAAATAATTTAATTATTAACAAGATTTAGCTATTAACATGAAAAAAGGCTCTAATTGCTAAAAACCAAAATTACAGAGGCAAATCACAGATTATAGACTGCATGGAACTACAGGAAATTAAGGACTCACAACAATGTTGTCTGCTAAGATAATGGGTTATCTAGTTCCTTTTTTCTGGAAAGCGAGTAATAAACAATTTCAGTTCTACTGCATTGTATCTGAAGCTGGCGCTGCTTCACCCACGTATAATAGTGACGCTTGTATTACAATAAAAGCAAGAGTTTGTAGTGGTCTTGAAAACTTGACTTCTGAAATCTCTTACTGGCATAAGAAGTTGAAATGTAAAAGAGATATGTAATTCCACTAATAAGAAAAACATATGAGTAAGTAAACAACCAAGAGTAAATTCTTTTTTTTAAAAGTGCTCATTATTTTTTTTACTGGGCTATTATAATTGCACAAAAGAGTAGGATTCACTGGCATTATCTTACACGTATATAAGGTATTTTGATCATATTTTCTCATCTTACTACCAATACTTATTTCTCTCCCCTCTTTTCCTTCTATGTTTGTTCTTCCCACATTTCAATAAAAGAAAGCACATCAGGTTTGGCTTAACCAAATCCTTAACATGGTCCTCTCTAGACCCTTTTACTAATACGCTGTCCTTCTACTGACGACCTATTGTGCAGTGCTAAGGACATTAGGAGAAGGCTGAATTCACAAAAGGACATTGAAGTGCAAATGTATATTTTTTCAAAAAAAATCTTATAATTTATATAATGTACCTTGGTCATATCTATCCACTACTTCCTCCCTTAAGTTCACTCAATTACTTTGACATATTTTCCATCTTCCTCCCAACTTCATTTATTCTTTTTTTTTCTTTTTTTTTCATTTATTCTTTTTTTAACCCACTAAGTTCAATAACTGCTGACCATATGTCTATTGTGTGGTCATCAGTTGGGAGCCTCATCTTTAACTGGACACAATGCTGACTAAACACCAGCACAATTCCAATTCTTTAAAAAGACTGAAAAGGAAACATTCTAAAGTTACTCAATTAAAAAAAAAAAACTTAACTGAATTTAAAACCCAAATGTAATTTCTTAGTAGCTATTAGTCTTTTGATAACTTTAAACCACATTCTTTATTACTTTTTGTATGTATTGTGTGTGCCTGGGAGTGTGTAGGTATATGTGTGCACCACATGTATGCAGGTCCCACAAAGGCAGCAGAGGGCTCCAGATCCCTTGGGACTGGAGTTACAGGCAGTTATGATTCACCCAATGTGGGTGCTGGGAACCAAACCCAGGTCATCTGCAAGAACAGCAAATGCTCTTGACTGCTGAATCGAAACCACAGCGAGTGATCATGTATGAAACTCACAAGCATTGGATTATAAACATAAATGTACGTATTCAATATGATGGTGAGCACTTTAACATGGAAGATGGTTGTTGGCCAATATCTAGTCACATTTAGCTGATTCCAAACATTGTGTCTTAGAATAAATAAATCTTAATGAATCATGCTAACAATATTCAATTCTCAGAGGGAGAGGCAAAACTATTAAGCCAGGGACAAAACACACTGAGAACAATGGGAATGAAAATATGGATTACTGACAAAAGTGTCGTTCTGCTTGGCCAAAAAAAAAAAAATGAAGGCAGTGGCTTTAAATTGTCCCTTCTTGAAACTACTTAGGCAGGGGAGGCAGGGTTGATAAAGAAAGCACAGCATGGTTGCATAATTGGAAGCAATACAGAAGGCTAAATGAATGCTCTGTGGGCATGAATGTGAAATCGTCTCAAAACCAAGGTGAATAATGCAAGTCATACGTATGAGAGAATTTAAGGTTTTCATGGGAAAATACCAGAAGGTGGGAAGGTTGTGGGAGGAGATGGGGAACTGAAATATATTGTATCATGATTGAAATGTATTTCATGTAAAAAGTAAATTAAAAATGTATACTAAAGACACTTCTCAGTGTGTCTTTATGCACACACTTATGTAGCAAAAGCTTGTATAAAAAACTCAATTCAAGATAATTTTTATATTTTGAAGGAGCTATACATGAAAAAAGGAAATTAAATCAGAAAACATTATACAGAGAACTTAAAATGCACCTATATTTTGATTGAACATTTGTGTATATGCCAGACAGTGGAACACACCTTTCATCCATGTACCTAGAATGCTCAAGCCAAAGGATTACTTGAGCCTAGAACTATAAGGCCAACCAGGGCAACACAATAGGACTATCCCCATCTCTCTAAAATAATAATAAAGTAAGATATGTGTATACATGTATAAAGTGGTAATATCTGTTGAAGATTAATCCTTAGCATATTTTACATAATGTACCAATGTCAGAAATGTTTCATAATACAAACACTAGAATTGGTTCTATTGTAAGATAGATGTTCTTTTAGCCTAAAACAAGATTAGAAAGCATGTTTTAGAAATTAATTTTAGCTCACAATCCTAAGACATCTCTGGGCCATAGGGATATATCTGGGCCAACAGGACATATCTTTTACAAACATATCAGAATGTGATTATAACTATTATGACTAGTAGAAAATTCAGATATGTTCTTTATTTCAGAAAACTAAGAAATTCTGCAGAGAAATATCCTTAACAAATATTATCTATTTTTGTCATATCAATGGAGTCAGTTTTTTTTTCATTAGATGAGCTTGCTAACGTCAGTATTTTTCAGTTACATATACAAAGCCAAAGGTTGACATCTAAATTAGTTCAGAGACTTGAGAGAGAAAACTATTCCCTAACTTCCTGAAGAAGATGGCAAACTGTGTGAGCGGCTGCATACACCTGTAATTACAGCATCCCAATAGGAGGACTGGGACTTATAAGCCTATATAATGTATATAGTGGAACCCCCCGGTAATGGAAAGAAGGGTTCAAGTCTAAACATATAGTAAGCAAAGCTACTATACCCATGAAAGGAGCAAATGACAAGTGGAGTAGAACTCAAGATCACAACAATTTCACCACCATAACTTGTCTACCTTTAAAATAATAATTTTGTACTGTTTCAGTTCCTAAACTAAGAATATCTATCACTTCTTAAACAGGCTCAATTGATCTACTCCACTAATTTAATAGAACCACAAGTAATGGAATTTTTTCATATACATAAAATATATATGATATATAATTCATAAAAACACATCTTGTGTGCTTTTTTTTTCCTTTGAGACAAGTGTTTGAGTGTAGATAGTGGACCATCATTAGTATTGTCACCCAATGGGCATAAACTAGAGAGTGTAGAATAAGATAAGGCTACACAGTCTAAAAAATTTGGCTTTTCATTTAGTGTCACCTTCTTTGGCCCTAATAGGAAAACCCAAATATTCAACAGAGAGAGAGAGAGAGAGAGAGAGAGAGAGAGAGAGAGAGAGAGAGAGAGAGAGAGAGAGAGAAACAAAGAGGAGAAGGTAAGAATTGGTTCTTGTGTGGAAGCAGTAACCGAGTCCTAATGCACCCTTCTTGGTACAATACTATATAGCTGCTAAAACAACATTGATAAACATTTATGGGAGACAGTGACAACACAGAAGGTTAACTGTTAAGGAAAGTTAAAAACTTATGTGCTGACATGAATGACAGCTGTAGAGAAATGGGAAGAAACAACATCTCTAACAGAAGTATTATGTTGAAGTACCACTATTGTGGGTGCTTTTTGTTCCTTTCCTCTGTCTCCAAAATGTTCTGCCCTCTGACACTTTGATAATTTAATACCTTTCAAAAACCGTATTTATGAGAAAAACTTGAAGTCCAGCAACAATTGGGAAAGTTTGTTTCTTGTACCAACAGAAGCAAAAATGAATATGCACATATACTCTTAACAATTTTTAAAGCTCTACAAGGGACAGATCGGGTCAAACACCGCTTGTTCTTTCAATTACTAAAAGAAATCTAAGTCAAGTTGATAATGACTTTCAATAAATTCCATTTTGACCTTTCAATTGAGTAACCTTTGTGGAGATAGTTTGGGTTCTCATGTCATTTTGTTGGAACATCTGCTAGGATTACAAAATTCATGGATCCTAGATTTCTTTTCTTGGAGATGCTACCCTAAAGTACCAATTGCCACAGATGAAGTGGAAGAATAAAGTTATCACTGCCTTCCTCTCCTCTACTCAACTTAGGTGAAGGATGTACAAAGCAGATATAACAAGGAAATGTGTTCAGCTGCTTTGTAGAAGAAGTAAAGCTATGTTTATAAGATACTGCATATACCAAGAGCAGTAGAGAGCTCCTATTTAACTCAAATATTTTTTAAGGATGCTCAGAGACATACCCAAATACCTGTAAGATTTTATGTTAGGTACCCAAAGAAATTTCTATATGCTTAATGAAATCCACAATTTGAATTTCCATTTTCCCTTATTTAAATAATAGAACAATATACAAGAGAC